GCAACCCGCCAAGAAGCGAGAGCTCGGCGCCCTTTCGGAGGATGATGAGGCCGACCTGGGGGATGGCTCCCGCAAGCACCATCGGTGCTCATACATCTTCGGGGGACCCCAAGGAGGTGATACCTCGGGAGAGCGGAAGCAATGGGCCCGAGCCCTATACATCGAGGAGATAACCAGGACTCCCGCCGACAAGAAGGTGAAGAGGGATCCCATCTTCTTCACTGATGCAGATTTACCACCGATGCCGCCTCCGCACAGGGACGCCTTGATGATCAAGATCGAGATCAACGACACTGTCATCCATCGGGTCCTGGTAGACAACGGGAGCTCCGTTAACATCATGTACTATGATACCTTCCGGGGGCTCGGCTTGGACAGAAAGGACTTGAACCCGGTAAGAACCCCGCTCTCAGGCTTCACTGGGGACTCCATTGAATCAGAAGGCAGTATAGTCCTCCCTGTGATAGTGGGCTCCGAGCCCTGCGTATCCAAGTTAAGTGTCGAATTCATAGTCGTACGCCTAACTTGTCCGCATAAGATCATCATGGGGAGGCCGGCCCTGGAGGACCTGAGGTGTGTGATATCCCAGGAGCACCTGTGCATGAAGTTCCCCACTCCGAATGGTGTCGGAGTTGCTAGGGGAGACCAGCGGATGGCTAGGAGCTGCTATCTAAAAGCTTGCAAGCAAATCGGCCAGAAGGACTTGAGAGTCCACACTATCAACAACAAGGCCATGAAGTATGAGGAGGGTCAGCTCCGTGCTGAACCCACTTCAGACGTGGAGGAAATCCAGATTGACCCTGAGAAACCAGAGCGGAAGGTCAAGATTGGAACCGGCCTCACGGCCGACTTGAGGGAAAAAATCATCAGAGTCTTGATCCTCTTCAGCGTTGTCTTCGCATGGGGGCCGGAGGACATGCCCGGCCTCGACCGAAGCATCGCTGTCCACCGGTTGGCGGTCAACCCGTCGGCAAAACCTGTTCAGCAGAAGAGAAGACATCTCTCCATCGAAAGGAGGGAATTCGTGAAGAAGGAGGTCAACATGCTCCTGAGTATCGGACACATTCGGGAGGTCCTATACCCAGTGTGGTTGGCGAACGTGGTCCTAGCCCCGAAGCCGCCGACCTGGAGGATGTGTGTCGACTACACCGACCTCAACAAGGCGTGTCCTATGGATCCGTTCCCGTTACCTAACATCGACCAACTAGTCGATGGGACGGCCGGGTGTGAGCTCCTTAGCTTCATGGACGCCTTTCGAGGGTACCACCAGATTTTTATGCATGAAGATGACGCGGAGAAGACCTCGTTCGTTACCCTGGAGGGAATTTTTTGCTATCTTGTCATGGCCTTCGGGCTAAAGAATTCCGGGGCAACGTACACGAGGATGGTGGCCAAAGTATTCCGGAAGGTGCTCGGAAGGAACATGGAAGCATACGTCGACGATATGATCGTCAAGAGCACCCGGGCGGCCGACCACGCAGATGACTTGGCAGAGATTTTCGGGATCATGAAGGCAGTGCGACTGCGCCTGAACCCAAAGAAGTGTACCTTTGCTGTCCAGGGAGGCAAGTTCCTAGGATACATGGTCACACGAAGAGGGATTGAGCCAAATCCCGAGAAGGTGAGAGCGATACTTGACATGGAGCCCCCGAGATCGGTGAAAGAAGTCCAGATTCTCACCGGTCGGCTAGCAGCCCTCGGGCGCTTCATGTCGAAGTCCGCTGAGAAATCATTACCTTTCTTCCAGGTCCTAAAGAAGCAAAATGGTTTCGTCTGGACTGATGAGTGCCAGCGAGCCTTCGAAGACTTGAAGAAATACCTCCTCTCCGAGCCTTTACTCAGCAAGCCGGAAAGGGGGGAGACGCTGATCCTGTACCTTGGGGTTTCTCAAGGCGCGATCAGCTCCGTGCTGGTTCGTGAAGAAGAAGGCGTTCAACGTCCCGTCTACTATGTAAGCAAAACCCTCCAGAATGCCGAGCTCCGGTACACCCCGCTTGAAAAGACGATCTATGCCGCTTACATCACCGCGAAGAAGTTGACACACTACTTCCAGGCGCATCCAATCCGAATCCTGTCGGAACAACCTCTAGGAGCAGCCCTGAGGGCGCCCGGCACAGCGCGGGTGGTGAAGTGGTCGATGCTCCTCAGTCAGTATGAGGTCGACTTCCAGCCTCGGACATCCATCAAGGGCCAAGCTTTGGCCGATTTCATCGTGGAGTGTACGGCCCGGGAGGTGACAGAGAAACAACAGGAGAGCGATGAGCAGTGGTGGACCTTAGCAACAGACGGGTCGGCCGGAGCAAAGGGATGTGGGGGCGGAATCGTCCTCATCTCCCCTGAGGGATTTCGGGCCTACTATGCCTACCGTTATCTTTTCAAAGTCTCCAACAACGAGGTGGAGTACGAGGCCCTATTGTCCGGACTGCGACTAGCAGCCGCCATGGGAGCAGAATGGATAACGGTCAAATGTGACTCTCGGCTGGTCGTTTCACAGGTTAAAGGTGAGTTCGAAGCAAAGGAGGAAAGAATGACGAAGTACCGAGATGCTGTCCGGGAATTGCTCGGGCTGTTCAAGCAGGCAGAGTTGGTTTGCGTCCCGAGAAATCAAAACTCGGACGCTGATCTCCTCTCAAAGCTATCCCAGGGGTTGCCCGAACACATTTCGAGAATTGCACGCATTGAGGAGATGACAACTTCAAGCATAGCAGCCTCACCGCCCGTCAACGTCCTCCCCTTGCAACCGGTCGCCTGGTGCTGGGTGGACGACCTCCTGCGTTACATCGCCGATGGGACGCTGCCTGACAGGGAGGATGAAGCAAGGCTAGTCCGCCGACGAGCTCCGGGCTACGTCGTCTTGGACGGGAAGCTATACAAAAGGTCCTACAATGGGACGTTGCTAAAGTGCTTGCGCCCGCATGAAGCGGACATGATCGTCTCCGAACTCCATGGGGGCGTGTGCTCCGCCCACCAGGGGGCATGCACGATTGCCAGGAAGGTTGTTCTCCAGGGTTACTTCTGGCCGACGATAATGCGAGACTGTGCCGATTATGCAAGGAGGTGTGAGACATGTCAGAAGTTCCAGAAGAGCCCCGGCCGGCCAGCGACGATGTACACACCGATCAGCACCGCCCTCCCATTCACGAGATGGGGCGTCGACCTGGTCGGTCCCTTGCCAACCGGGTCGGGAAACCGGAAGTTTGTAATCGTCGCGGTGGACTACTTCACGAAGTGGGTCGAGGCTGAGCCGCTCGCCAGCATCACACATCTCCAGTGTAAGAAGTTCATATGGAAGAATATTTTTTGCCGGTTCGGAGTTCCCCTCCAAATAATATCCGACAACGGAAGGCAGTTTGACTGCGAAGCCTTCCGACAGTTCTGCGCAGAGTGGGGCGTAGAATCCAGCCGGGTGGCGGTTTGCTACCCTCAGGCAAATGGACAGGTGGAGAACACTAACAGGACGATCGTCGATGGGTTGCAAAAGAAGTTGGAGGCCCTCGGGACTGCCTGGGTGGGAGAGTTGAACAATATACTCTGGACCTTCAGAACAACCCCAAGGAAGGCAACCGGAGAGACCCCCTTCGCCTTGTGTTATGGCTTTGAGGCAAGGGCACCGTTCGAGGCCGTAGTCCCCAGCCGACGAATGGAAGAGTTCGAACCAGCTAGCAATGAGGAGAGGCTCCGAGCCGAGCTCCACCTCATTGAGGAAAGGAGGGACCGGGCCTTCGTCAAAGCAGAAAACTATCGACGCCAAGTCAAGGCGTACCAGGACAGCCGAGCCCAGCCCCGGAGTTTTGACGTTGGTGATTACGTCTTAAGGCGTAGGAAGGCCAGCAAGCCGGCGGAGGGAGGCAAACTTTCCATCAAGTGGGAAGGCCCATACGTGATTGATGCTGTGGTCGGACCCGGGACATACAAATTGAAGACGACAACAGGCCGGCTGGTAGACCGTGTCTGGAACGCTGAGCATCTGATGAAGTTTTATCAGTAGAGAACTGAAGTGTCACCTTTTCTTTATGAACTCCTGTGCTCTGGGCACAGGATTACAACTTGTAATTCTTCATGTGGTCCGCCCACATTATGAATTCAATATACTTTGCTAGCGATATTTTGTATTCAAAAGAGGTCCGACCTCTCTTAGCAATTAAGGGCGGCGGCGCCAAAAAAAAAAAAAAAAAAGAAAAAAAAAAAAAAAAAAAGAAAAAAAAAAGATACTATGCCCCCCCTCGGTGTTTGGCCGACCTCGGTCAGGCTCTTGAACTGAAAATGGCCCATCGATTTTCAAGAATCCAAGCAATTTTCTAAAGTAAAGAGCTAACCGCGACGGTCGAGGCGATAGTAGGGCCGATCCCCGGGTCGGGAGCGCCCAAGGTGCCGACCTCTGGGTCCCCCCTTTTTGAGTGCTCGCAACCCGACGTCGCTGGCCAAGCAGCTCGCACTCTCGCCATCTCCGAGTTGGCGGTGCGGGTCCGTTCTGGTGGATCATGCAGGGTCCGCCCCTGTTGTTTGGCTCACCTCGCGGGAGTAACCAGATTATTCCCCAAGTCCGGGCGAACTGGACGGGTCAAAGTGACAGTAGGACTGACCCCAGGTCATGAATATCGGGGTGCCGACCTAAGTGTCCTCCTCGAATGGGCGATGTCCGACCTCGCTAGCCGAACAAAGTCGCATACTTGTTGCGAACAGATCACTTCTATATGACCAGTGGGCGCGGATAGGCTTGGCCACGCCAGCCTAATCGCTCCCCGGGAAGATAGAGAAGCCGGATCCCCGAATAAAATTGCTTAAGTACTCGCAATGCAAAGTATATGAAAAGAAACACATGTGTTCAAAATATGTGAATTAATTAAACATTCAGTCAAAACACAACGTATACGAGTGGAAGACAAGGAAAATGCAAAATACAAAGTCATGGCAAGACATGCCCATTGCCATTGGCCTCGGGAATCTCATCTAACATGGCAACCAAGTCTTGGCCGGACTCTTGAGCTCCCTCTTGCTGACCGGATGCAAGGGGGACCATGTCCTCCGAAGGTCTTGGAAAGAACCAGCACCATTCGTTCGAGTTACCGGACTCCTCCTCCTGGCGGTAGACTCCTGGGGGCAAGAGGGCTATTGCAGCCTCAGGTTTCTTCATGCGGGCAGGAAGGCCTAGCACGGATGGATAGAAGTCAGGGCCGAGACCCTCCAACTGATCATACAATTTACGCTGCGTCAAGTACTTGCCACACTGAAAGGCGTACAGAACTTCACGAGCATGCCAGTACTCCCCCTCGTCAGTCTTCAGCCATTTATTTACTAAGTCAGATTCCTTCGCTTCCACCCTGTCAGATATGGTTTTCTGGAATTCGTCGGAGGCCTTGAACTCGAGAATCGCTTTCTTGGCCACTTCTTCACGCTCTCTTGCATGCAAAAGTTGCAACTCGGAGAAAGCTTTCTCCCTAGCCTGTAGGGCGGCTCTAACTTCATCAACCTCACGCTGGAGCTTTGCCTGAGAATGGTTGGCTGCCCAAAGTGCCCCAATGGTCTTAGCAAGTCCCTGCAAAACAAAACAAACAAAATATGATGGGATCGAGGGATAAAACAGAGTATGCCAGAGATGTGATCGGCCACTCACATCAACATGGGTCCGAATGGAATCCTCCAGGAGAGGCTGAAACCCCTGTGAGGTCATACGTGCAAGGTCACCCGGCGGTAAGATCGCTGAGGCATAGTCCACAACCGGGAAGCCCTCGTGCATGATCGAGGCACCCGGAGATGGGAATGTGTAAGCAACTGTGTGCTGAGTGTCGCATCTAACCCGCTCAGCCATCGCCTCACCAGCATCTTCATGCGCCTGCCCAGCAGATTGGAATTCCGGGGTGACAGTCGCCCCTTCCAAAACATGCCCCTCTCGGCCCAGGGGGGCTCCGTGCCTTTTCCCCGCAGCGACCTGGGGGGCCACAGGAGCAGTGGCTAAGTGAGGCTCCACCTCCTCGTCATCAGACTCATCCAATTCGACCAGTAAATCAACAATATCCCTCTTCTGTTTCTTCTTCGCTGGTGCGGCAGGCTGAGGCCCGAAGGTGACCCTCACCCTCCTCGGAATCTGTGCTACAAGGTTTGGGGGAGCTCCATGCCCTTTTTCCTTGGTGGCCGTGGGAGCTACACGAGCGATGAATGGCTGGGCTTCTTCGTCATCATCATCGGATTCGGCACCGGCGATATGTTTCTCAGGCCTATCGGGCACATCTGCGGAGGAAAATGTGAGGATGAGTAAGGTGAAATACAAAATAGCCAAACCTAAACTAAGGGAGTGACGATCACCTAAGTATGAGCTGATGGAGCGGGGGCCGCCTGCGGACAACACCTCGATGGATGACTTGAGATCAGGGGAAAGGGCGACCCGATCACACTTCCGGAGCCGCTCACCCCACTGGAAAGGAGGTGATGGAAGGGTAGGGTCAGACACCCAGATCCACCTCTTCTTCCATCGGCTACCTGAGTCAGGGTAACCCGACCGGAATAGCTTGCTCACTGGCCTCTGGGAGACTGAGGCAAAAAAGCTGGAGGCGCGCCACTGGAAGCAGCTAAAAAACAAATCGATTGTGGGAGTGAGGCCCACGTCCTCGCACCGCGCCACGAAAGCTGCCACGAACATGTGAGCCGCCGGAGCCAGTTGGCCCGGTGCCACACCCAGGAAGTGAAGAAATCGAACCAGAAAAGGATGCAGAGGCACAACCATCCCTAACTCCAGAGAGCGGATATGGACCCCAAAATAAGGGATCGGGGGATCACTCAGTACTTCAGTAGCCTCCGGGATTTTCGATGAACACTCGGCACCGATCAGACTGCGTGCCACGGCAAGGTCCTCGTCTTGGACGCAAGGGGGGAGGTTCACTATCCCACTATTGTCGAGGTCCCACCAAGAATTCGGGTCTTCCCAAGCGCCAGAGTCATCATCAGAATCTGACACGTCCACGGCTTGGGTGCGCGCTCTGTCCGGAACGTTGAGGAGTCGGCCCTCGAAAACGGTGACCCGCTTAGTTGGGGCTACCCCTGGGAGAATCTCAGCCTGCTGTCCGGTAACTTTCCCCACATGCATACGTGGTCTGGGGCCACGGCTGGCCCGAATGGGTTTCATGGCCGCCCCATGCTTGCCTTCAGTGATGGCCGACAGTCCCGAGTCTGATGGCTTGGGGAGGGGCTGAACGTCAACCTGCATCGTTGACTGGGAGCGTTGACCAGTACTTTCATGAGAAGAGCGCCCGCCGTTTTGCATAATCAGACGCGATAAAGTGCACCTGCACGTCAAAACAAAGCGAAACAAAAAAAAATTATTTATTATTATTAATTCACATATGCACGGGGTAGCTTCCTGAGCAAAACCCACCGGCAGAATAGGGGCCGCCGGTCCCCACCAACATCGCACGGCCATGGTAGAGTCAAGTCACAAGGTAGAGGCTAGCTTGCCTCAAGACCGGGCTGCCAGCAGTAGGGTCCGAGTGTTCCGGGGAATCAAACACCGGCCGCCAGAGATCAACACAGGACGGCCGCCAGACATCGCGGTCGACAGCCGGCAGCAGGAGCGCGCGGGCGGCAGTAATCCGGACCACCCGGCTGCCTGGGAGGGAGGCAGCTCGTCTGACCTGGGGGGCCGCCTAGTCGCCTGGCCGCCAGTTCCCTGGGAGACGCCGGCCGGGGTGGGGTGTTTGCCAGCCCCTGTACATCGCACCGACCAACGGGGGAGTCCAAGCCGGCCGGCCAGATCCGCCGGACTCTGGGGGTGACGCCGGCAACCGGTTCTTGGCGCAGGACGGCCGCCTGGCACGGCGGGAGTCGGCCCAGTGGAACCGCTGGGAGAAGAATGGCGGTCAACCCATTCAGCGGGTTGACTGCGGCGCTGGGGCGACGCGAGGAAGACGACGCAGGAGACCAGGAGAGAGGAAAGGAAAAGAAAGGAAAGAAAAAGAAAGGAAAGAAAAGAAAAAGAAAAAAAAGAAGGAAAGAAAAGAAGAAAAAAAAAAAGGAGAGGAAAAGAAAAGAGAAAAATAAATATGGTCCGAAAATAATTATAAAAAATAATTTTTGAATTTCAGGAATTTCCGGAGGCTGACCTGGATTCTGAAGTCTGGAAGAAAACTGACTGTTGGAATGCTAGGATGCTGAAAGAATTAATTTGAAGCCTCTTTAAGCTGAGAGCTTTATTTAAAATTGGAAAATTTCCATAAATTGTGAGATTGACAGAATCCGCAAATATTGCTCCCTGGTATGAGAATATTTTTAAGTTGGCAGCTGACTTGGACTACTCCCTCTTAGCCGAGTCTACTACTCGACTAAGGGAGTGGGGGACTCGTGATGGGATTATGGGACCAGGCCCAACGCCTAATCAGACTTGGCCCCAAACTTGGATCAGCAAGCCCAAGCCCACGACTGTTGTCTCGCCAGGCAAGCCCAGATAGTGAACCCAGCGATCAGATATCAGGTCGACCCAACCGACCGGGCCCATCAGGGAGTGGAAGTCCAGCGGAGCAGAAGCCCAAGACGGCCTATCTACCCGCCCAACCGGAAGCCTGTCTTTGGCCTAGCGAGGAGCCTGATTCCGGCCCAACGGAAGCCTGTCACCCGGGGAGCCCGAGCGCCCGGCCTGCTAGCCAGGGAAGAGTAACGGCCTGCCAGCCAGGGAAGAGCAACGGCCAGACATTAATACACTATTTATTTATGTGATTAATTATGTATTAACTTTGTAATTAAATTAGTCATTATAACGTTTAGCAGTTACCATTTGTAATCGCCTATAAAAGGCAAGTTGGATTCAAATAATGGAGAAGTTATTTCTGGCTATCAAACTCTCTAGCTACTTTCCATATTTGCATTACTATCCTGATTTCTGCTTGAGTGTTCTTACGTAGCTTTCCTAAAAGCCTACGAGCGTCCTATTTTGGACCAACAAACACTGTCACGCCCCGGACCTCCCCGGACACGTCAACAACCCGCCGTACAATACGAATAGTCAACCGCAGTCCAACACATTCATATTATACAAGGCGTCATGAATATCATTCACACATAAGTCATCCATAAACATACATAATAAACAATTGAATACGCAGCGGAAAACATTGTTTAAAACAAAAGGGCCACACAGGGCAAACATGAGCACGCAGGCTCTAAAGTAAAATATCCATGAGCAAGTTTAATATTATTTAAAAACAGAATGGAGGAAGCACGAACCAAGTCTTCTCTCCAAGGAATCACTCGATCAACGAGCACAGGAAGCAAGCTCTAGCCTCAACCTGAAATTGTGGTGGGACGCCCCCGAAGGGGTCAGTACTCTATACGGCTATAAAGTACTGGTGTGGCAGGCATCTAATAGATATACAACAAGTATTTCAAACACAAGACCCTCAAGTAGGGTGATAGTACATTATGATTGTAACCCTAAGTTACCCCGTTTAAAAATATACTTACTTTATATAAAAGTCAAGTAGTCGGCCCGTGGGCCCGTTTTCATTTGGAAATCACCATTCCCAACCCCGTGGCTATAAGCCACGACAACTCCTAGAGTCCAACCCTAGTACATGACATTGTATTCTAGAGCTCGGCTCTACCACATCACCATACAATTCATATACCTCGGGTCAATTTCCTTACCTTGCGTTCTAGAGCTCGGCTCTACCACATCACCACGCAAGTCCTAGAGCTCGGCTCTAGCTATACAATACATAGACTCCAAGTCTACCCTTACATGCATTCTAGAGCTCGGCTCTATCACATCACCATGCATTAAGGTCCAATTCTCAAGCAACCCTATGCCTAGAATTGACATATCATTAAACTACCATGGGTCATCCTTAAAGACTTCCCATAACTTAACCTTAGTTCCATACTAAGTTATTATATACACTTGAACTATATTCAAGCACCTTTCATACAATCCAATCCCTAGGATCAATTTAATCAATAAATCCCAATAATCATTAACTAGTATTTCAATACTATTAAGATTATTGCTATCAAACCATTATCCTTGTTATTTGTAATTCTCTACATATTTATAATTATGTAGCAGCAACTTAAACATTCATTCTCAATACACAAATATTCATTTATGTATCCACATAATTCATACATGAGAAAAATGCCCATTTTCACAAATAGTTCATTTATACTCATTTAATCTCATATTATTCATACCTTCTCAAATCATTTCAAATTTCATTCTTTGGCAACTATATCAATATTTCATCAATATATAATCATCATAATCCATGAAAAATCATGATTTAAGCATTTAGGTAATCTCATGCTTAACCTACAAGTTGTAAGCAATTAGATGTCAATCCTCACCTCAATTGAGCTTTAAACTTTCCCTTCTTGGTCCAATGGTCAAAGCTTTGGTCAAGGTGGATTTGGAACTGATTCCTTGCTCAAATATGAGTGTTAAACAGCCTCCTCAAAGTGCTAGTTCAACCCTTAATCGTTGATACGAAAACAGCCCCTAGAACGGGTGTTTCCCGGTCAACTCGTTTCCTAGTTTTTCCAAGATTTGTTCTAGGTTAGTATCTAACCTTTACATCAATAAAATAACTTTATAAGGACATATTATACACTTGGATTAGTGTATGATAGTCCCACCAATCGTTCATATCATTTGGAAAATGAAAAGTAAAGTTTTGGGGTTAAAACTCACTTTTAGAAGATTAAATCCTCTCCTGCGAGGTTGTGTTTTGCTCGGACGATTTGGAAGCCTTCCACAACTCCGATTCCTGCAAACCAGACCTTCACGGATTCCTCGTCTTGAGAGCTTTCTGTGGGTATCTCACACGCCTTAATTGGATTTGTAAAACTCGAGATATCGACCAAACAGTCTCAGCACTCTCACAGCTCGAGTTCACAGACCTCTGCTCGTTCCAGCTCGATTTTTGTACGATAAGCCTTCTCTCCTCGAACAAAGACCACTCAATTGAGATAATAGACTTCAAAGGCTATCCAAGGACATATTATTCACGTTGTTTGGTCGAGTATAGCTTCTATAATGAGAGGAGACAAACAGCACACCAATTTGTGCGAAAATAAGGATGGTGGCCCAAGCTTTGATTCCTATCAAGTCATGTGCAGCTCCCCTCCATTATGGCCGGCCAAGGTAGGTCTTCTAACCCATTTTTATTTGTTTTGCAGGTACTAATATCATGTGGAGTGGTTCCCAATTGATCCCATTAAATTTGGGGTCCAAAAAATCTACCAATACTTCCAAAAATGGGAAGATGGGTCCTATTGTTTTATCTTTGTCAAAGATGTCTTTTTGTACTCATCCTAATTTATTTAGAACAAGTCAACTTCCTAAATCACATTATTGATCTCCAATATGTGTAGGCTCATCCCAATAATTTACTTGATGGATATTTTAGAAGGAAAATCCTACTCCCATTATTTAGCTCAATAATGCCAAAGATGGGGTTATAGACATTTGTATTCTCCTTTAATCATTCTTTCACTATTTAGGTAATGTTGGGCTTTTTTATTTATTAATAAGTCCCGAGTAAGTATTTGCGAAACCCGACACTAATGTACGAGTTTGAACAGTACGATATTCAACCATGCACTACGTAGAACATTGATCGTTTTACAAAATGTTTGGGAATCGGAAATCCAATACATAAGCTATGAATATTCAAATCAAATTTCCAAGGACATTCGGGTGCGGTGTCACAAGTTCACCCCCCCTTAACAGGAATTTCGTCCCCGAAATTTACAGCTCTACTCGAATAGGAAAGCATACTGCTTCCTCATCAAAGCCTCTGTTTCCCATGTCTCTTCTTCGACCCGATCGCTCTTCCACAGGACTTTAACCATTGGGACTTCCTTGCTCCTCAGTTTCTTCACCTTTCTATCGGTGACCTTGATAGGTTGAACAGAGTAGTTCAAATCCTCACGTACCTCTACAGGTGGCTTCTCCAATACGTGAGAGGGATCATGCACATACTTCTTAAGCATGGATACATGAAACACATTATGTATCTTTTCTAACTCAGGAGTCAACTGTAGACGATATGCCACGGCCCCAATCCTCTCTATAATTCTGAATGGACCTATGTATCGTGGGTTAAGCTTCCCTCGGGTTTGAAATCGAATGATTCCTTTCCAAGGAGAAACTTTCAAGAACACCTCGTCATCAACCTTAAACTCTAAGGTTCTTCGACGCTTATCTGCATAACTCTTTTGCCTATCCTGAGCCGCTTTGAGTCTCTCTCGAATCAATTTCACCTTTGATTTGGTGACCTCAACCAACTCAGTACCCTCGAGTTTGGCCATGCCAACCTCGTCCCAGCATAACGGTGTACGACACCTCCTCCCATACAATGCCTCGTATGGAGGCATGCCGATGCTGGCCTGATAACTGTTGTTATAGGCAAACTCCACAAGTGCTAAGTGGTTGTCCCAACTTCCTTGGAACTCCAATGCACAAGCCCTCAGCATGTCTTCTAGGATCTGTATGACTCTTTCAGACTGCCCATCCGTCTGTGGGTGGAAAGCAGTACTGAACTTCAACCTCGTTCCCATAGACTCCTGAAATTTTGGCCAAAAACGTGATGTGAATCGTGGGTCTCTATCAGATACAATGGTCACTGGGACTCCATGCAGCCTCACGATCTCATCCGTATACAATTTGGCTAACCTCTCAAGTGGGTAGGTAGTGTTGATAGGCAAGAAGTGTGCACTCTTTGTGAGCCTATCCACAACGACCCAAACTGCATCATAGTTTCTGATTGTCCGTGGTAAACCTACCACGAAATCCATAGTCACGTGTTCCCACTTCCATTCAGGAATGGAAAGTGGCTGCAATAAGCCTGCTGGATGCTGATGTTCCGCCTTAACTTGTTGACAAGTAAGGCATCGACTAATGTATTCGGCTATTTCCCTCTTCATTCCAGACCACCAGTAACTTTCTTTCAAGTCACGGTACATTTTCGTGCCCCCCGGGTGCATGGCATAAGCCGACGAATGAGCTTCCTCTAAGATGGACTTTCGGAGCTCGTCATCTGCCGGTACACACACTCGGTCACGAAATAATAAGAGACCGTCATCTCTTTCTCTGAAGTCCTCCACCGGTCCCGCTTGCATGCGTTCCCGGATCTTCATAATTTCTTCGTCGGTTTCCTGACCCTTCTTGATCTCATCAAGTAAAGTAGGTCTCACCTCAAATCGTGCCAATAAGGCACCATCGCTGGATACCTCCAGTTGGGCTCTTAATGCCCTCAAATTAGCTAGCAATGGCCCAGACGAGCTTTTCCGGCTCAAAGCATCTGCCACCACGTTAGCCTTGCCTGGGTGATACTCTATCACCAGATGGTAGTCTTTTATCAACTCCATCCACCGTCTCTGTCTCATGTTTAGCTCTTTCTGAGTAAACACGTATTTCAAGCTCTTGTGATCAGTGTATATATGACATGTCTCCCCGTAGAGATAATGTCTCCATATCTTCAGTGCAAACACCACTGCCCCCAGCTCCAAATCATGAGTAGGATAATTCACCTCATGCTTCTTCAACTGTCATGAAGCATAGGCGATTACCCTCCCATTCTGCATCAGTACACACCCAAGCCCTTGGATGCTCGCATCGCTATAGACATCGTACCCCACACCCTGTTTGGGTAATGCAAGTACCGGTGCCTCGGTCAATCGTTTCTTTAGTTCCATGAACCCCTTCTCACATTTGTCATCCCATACAAACTTAGCTCCTTTACGAGTGAGCTTCGTCAATGGTGATGCCAAAACAGAGAACTTCTCCATGAACTTCCTGTAGTAGCCTGCCAATCCAAGGAAACTACGAATTTCCTTGACGTTCTTTGGCCTCTCCCATTCGGTAATGGCTTCTACCTTCTTGTTATCAACAGCAATTCCCGATCCAGAAACCACGTGCTCGAGGAAGCCAATCTCCTTTAGCCAAAATTCACATTTAGAAAATTTGGCATAGAGTTGTTTCTCCCGTAGTGTCTCAAGAACAAGTATCAAGTGCTCTTCATGCTCTTCTTCACTCCTTGAGTAAATCAAGATGTCATCTATGAACACAATCACGAATCGGTCCAAGTATTTATGAAATACTCGGTTCATCAAGTCCATGAATGCCGCCGGGGCGTTTGTTAACCCAAACGACATAACAAGGAATTCAAAATGCCCATACCTCGTGCGGAAAGCACTCTTTGGTATGTCATCCTCCTTAATCTTCAATTGGTGGTACCCCGACCTCAAGTCAATCTTTGAAAACACGGTTGCTCCTCGTAGTTGATCAAATAAGTCATCAATCCTAGGCAAAGGATACCTATTCTTGATTGTGACCTTGTTCAGTTGACGATAGTCAATGCACATTCGGAGTGTCCCATCTTTCTTTTTCACAAAAAGAACTGGTGCTCCCCACGGGGAGTGGCTGGGTCTAATGAAACCATTATCCAAAAGCTCCTGCAATTGGGTTTTCAACTCGTTAAGTTCAGCGGGTGCCATACGATATGGCGGTATGGAGATTGGTTTGGTACCATGCTCGACCTCGATCACAAATTCAATCTCCCTATCAGGTGGAAGCCCCGGTAAGTCTTTAGGGAAGACATCCGGATACTTACAAACCACCCTCACATCATCGATGTTCGTTTCTTCTTTGGTTTTGTCAACCACGTATGCTAGATATGCGTGGCATCCCTTTCTCATCATACTTCTCGCTCTCACGGCGGATATGATGCAGCTATTTGATCTCCCTCGATCGCCCTCGAAGCGTAGGGTCTCCCCATCATTGCCTTCGAGTTCAAGAACCTTCATGTAGCAATCTACCCTAGCATGGTTCCTTTCTAGCCAATCCATCCCTAGGATTGCATCGAATTCAATCATGCTCAGCGGTACGAAGTCACATGTCAAGGTTTGACCATTAACCTCCACCCCACAAGATGGATAGTAACAAGTTCTTTCCACGTCATCCCCTAGTGGTGTTGACACCATTAAGGTTTGCATCAATGGTGCGGATTGCACTCCCAACCTCTTGGCGAACGCTTCATTCACAAATGAACGTTGCGCCCCGGTATCGATAAGGATTCGCGCATCCTTCCCATTAATCTTTAGTGTTCCTACATTTATAAGTCATGTAAGATACCTTTCCTACCATTCTTACACATTTAGAGAGGTTTATTATGTTCACACATGTGTTTGGGATCAAGAAAAGGTCTTAATGTCGCAAAACGGTGCGAAAAATCGGGTTTCGGCATTCTGGGTGCCAGGCACGGCGTGCCTGGGGTAGGCACGGTCGTGCCTGGCTTGGGAAAAAGCCCTGGGCGCTACTGCCTCCCAGGCACGGTGCCACGCACGGCGTGCCTGCGACCGTGCCTGGCCGAATTTCCTCGAGGAGGCCATGTAACACTTGAGATTTAATATAAACGGATTAATAGTACTACTCATACCAACAGAGGTGCATCTCCTTTTAAGGGAGCTCATCACCCAAGAACTCCAAAGTTAAGCGTGCTAGCACGGGAGTAGTCTTGGGATGGGTGACCCCCTGAGAAGTTTCTCAGGGCGCGCATGAGTGAGGACAAAGTGCGCGGTAAAGGCTCGTGGTGGTTTGTGAGGACAGTACTATTGGTCTAGAGTAACTACCTCGGGTCCGGTGGGGCCGGGGTGTTAAAAATGGTATCAGAGCAATCCTGCGACCGTGTGTTGACCCGTTGGATATCGGGCAGGCACTTAGCAGGGGAAGATTCTGGGATTTGATTGAGATTTAAGATTGGTTCAAGGGCGCAACGAGGACGTTGCGATCCTAAGTGGGGGTGATTGTAACACTTGAGATTTAATATAAACGGATTAATAGTACTACTCATACCAACAGAGGTGCATCTCCTTTTAAGGGAGCTCATCACCCAAGAACTCCAAAGTTAAGCGTGCTAGCACGGGAGTAGTCTTGGGATGGGTGACCCCCTGAGAAGTTTCTCAGGGCGCGCATGAGTGAGGACAAAGTGCGCGGTAAAGGCTCGTGGTGGTTTGTGAGGACAGTATTATTGGTCTAGAGTAACTACCTCGGGTCCGGTGGGGCCGGGGTGTTACAGGCCACTGCCTCCCAGGCACGGTGCCACGCACGACGTGCCTGCAGCCGTGCCTGGCCGGAACTCCTCAGCGAGGCCACTGCCTCCCAGGCACGGTGCCACGCACGGCATGCCTGCGGGCGTGCCTGGCCGGCAGTGGCTGTTTCCAGCCTGATTTGGCCTAACTCACCCGGTTTTGGCCCCGGGGTGGCCTGCACTCAATCCCAACGACGTACATGATCTAAGTAAGCCTAAAAGTGCCCAAAATAAGTGTATTACCAGCGACGGAGTCGGGATTAGCCCGAGCATCAGCCTCGGTCATTGCGTAGACTCTAGCTTGCGTCCTTCCTTGATTCACGGACGGCGCGTTACTCGCGCTTGCTCCCCCTTGCCCCCTGGTTACTTGGGAACCCCCGGCTTGGTTTCTACTTCCCGCAGCCCCGCTACTTGGTCCTGATGTCCTTGCCCCACCCAACTGGGGGCAATGCGCCTTCAAGTGTCCGGCATCCCCACATTGGAAACATCTAGGGGGGTCGCGACACTTACCGGAGTGATTCTTCTTGCAATTGTTGCAACGAGTTATCACCGAGGTTTGTGACCTCGAGCCTTGCCCACTCGGGCCTTGGTTCCCCCTAGACGGTGGCGGCGGTGCCCGGAAAGATCCTCCTCCATGGTTCCCCTTCTTGTTGGAACCTTGGGAGCCATGACTCTCCCACTTTCTCTTTTTCGCCTCCTCGGCGTTCCTTCGTTTTCTTTCCTCCCACTCCTTCTCTCCCTTCAGGCCTTGTTCGACCACTTGACTAAACGTCATATTAGGCAATTGTGTTGCCCTCTCGCGTATGTCAAGGTCCAAGGCGTCCCAGAAATGATTCACCATACGGTTTTCATCACATATGTACTCCGGTATGAATTCCGCGAGTTCCCTGAATTTGTGTTCAAGTTGCCTCACCGTCATCGTGCCACCTTGGGTTAGGAGGGTATACTCTCTCCTCTTATTGTTCACCTCAAAATCTGAATAGTATTGGGCAAAGAACTCCTGTCGGAAATCCTCCCAAGTCACGGTATTGCCATACTTTCCCTTGGCTCCGTCCCACCATGTGGATGCCATCCCTTCAAGCAACCTCACCGCCACCCTTAGCTTAAACTCGGGGGTGAGTTGCATATCAAGGGCTGCTTCGTTCAACCTCTTGATCCATTCCGCGGCGATCGAGATGTCACCCGCTCCATTGAAGGGTTTGCACCCCAAGTCTCGTGCCTCCTTGAGGTATTTGGAGATCCTTATGATCGGACCCCCATCACCCCGGCCCCCATGTGGTTCAATGTGGGCCCTAGAGTCGCCATGGCTTCTTCCTCTTGAAGCCCCACCCGAAGTTCGCCCTCCTCGGCGCCTTCGGCGTTCCCTCCTTTCCTCGCGCTCCCGCTGGTATTGCTGGAGCAGCGCCTCAATTCTGACTAGGGAGTCATTCTCCCCTTCTTCATCACTTATATCATCGTCATCCCCTTCGTAAGGGGTCTCAACCGGCTCGGTCTCCGGTTGGTAAGTCGAGTCCTCATAGGACCAGTAGGTTTCACTTTCTGTGTCAACATGACCGTCACTCACGGTCTGTGATCGGCCTCCACGGCCAGCTCCTCTAGATGCCCTAGAGGTCCTTCGACTGCCCTGTCCAGTCTCCACTGGTACACGGCCCGTCGGGTTTCTCCTAGTAATCCTGCCACCACGGTCCATTTCTGAAAGAAATTTGGAAAGAGTCATTAGACTCGTATCAAATGTCAATTGACGGATAGGTACTTAAGACACACTTGGCTCGAGTCACCGCCATACCAATTGCTAAGGGTACCATCTTAGCAATTAGAGACCTTGCAACCCAAGTACCAAAAGCTCTCCAAGTACAAAACTTCTATGCTCATGGTTTTCAAAATCTTTTCAAAAAGAGAATTTTGAGACTCCATTATGAAGTTTATGGACTAAGGCTCTGATACCAACTTAATTGTCACGCCCCGGACCTCCCCGGACACGTCAACAACCCGCCATACAATACGAATAGTCAACCGCAGTCCAACACATTCATATTATACAAGGCGTCATGAATATCATTCACACATAAGTCATCCATAAACATACATAATAAACAATTGAATACGCAGCGGAAAACATTGTTTAAAACAAAAGGGCCACACAGGGCAAACATGAGCACGCAGGCTCTAAAGTAAAATATCCATGAGCAAGTTTAATATTATTTAAAAACAGAATGGAGGAAGCACGAACCAAGTCTTCTCTCCAAGGAATCACTCGATCAACGAGCACAGGAAGCAAGCTCTAGCCTCAACCTGAAATTGTGGTGGGACGCCCCCGAAGGGGTCAGTACTCTATACGGCTATAAAGTACTGGTGTGGCAGGCATCTAATAGATATACAACAAGTATTTCAAACACAAGACCCTCAAGTAGGGTGATAGTACATTATGATTGTAACCCTAAGTTACCCCGTTTAAAAATATACTTACTTTATATAAAAGTCAAGTAGTCGGCCCGTGGGCCCGTTTTCATTTGGAAATCACCATTCCCAACCCCGTGGCTATAAGCCACGACAACTCCTAGAGTCCAACCCTAGTACATGACATTGTATTCTAGAGCTCGGCTCTACCACATCACCATACAATTCATATACCTCGGGTCAATTTCCTTACCTTGCGTTCTAGAGCTCGGCTCTACCACATCACCACGCAAGTCCTAGAGCTCGGCTCTAGCTATACAATACATAGACTCCAAGTCTACCCTTACATGCATTCTAGAGCTCGGCTCTATCACATCACCATGCATTAAGGTCCAATTCTCAAGCAACCCTATGCCTAGAATTGACATATCATTAAACTACCATGGGTCATCCTTAAAGACTTCCCATAACTTAACCTTAGTTCCATACTAAGTTATTATATACACTTGAACTATATTCAAGCACCTTTCATACAATCCAATCCCTAGGATCAATTTAATCAATAAATCCCAATAATCATTAACTAGTATTTCAATACTATTAAGATTATTGCTATCAAACCATTATCCTTGTTATTTGTAATTCTCTACATATTTATAATTATGTAGCAGCAACTTAAACATTCATTCTCAATACACAAATATTCATTTATGTATCCACATAATTCATACATGAGAAAAATGCCCATTTTCACAAATAGTTCATTTATACTCATTTAATCTCATATTATTCATACCTTCTCAAATCATTTCAAATTTCATTCTTTGGCAACTATATCAATATTTCATCAATATATAATCATCATAATCCATGAAAAATCATGATTTAAGCATTTAGGTAATCTCATGCTTAACCTACAAGTTGTAAGCAATTAGATGTCAATCCTCACCTCAATTGAGCTTTAAACTTTCCCTTCTTGGTCCAATGGTCAAAGCTTTGGTCAAGGTGGATTTGGAACTGATTCCTTGCTCAAATATGAGTGTTAAACAGCCTCCTCAAAGTGCTAGTTCAACCCTTAATCGTTGATACGAAAACAGCCCCTAGAACGGGTGTTTCCCGGTCAACTCGTTTCCTAGTTTTTCCAAGATTTGTTCTAGGTTAGTATCTAACCTTTACATCAATAAAATAACTTTATAAGGACATATTATACACTTGGATTAGTGTATGATAGTCCCACCAATCGTTCATATCATTTGGAAAATGAAAAGTAAAGTTTTGGGGTTAAAACTCACTTTTAGAAGATTAAATCCTCTCCTGCGAGGTTGTGTTTTGCTCGGACGATTTGGAAGCCTTCCACAACTCCGATTCCTGCAAACCAGACCTTCACGGATTCCTCGTCTTGAGAGCTTTCTGTGGGTATCTCACACGCCTTAATTGGATTTGTAAAACTCGAGATATCGACCAAACAGTCTCAGCACTCTCACAGCTCGAGTTCACAGACCTCTGCTCGTTCCAGCTCGATTTTTGTAAGATAAGCCTTCTCTACTCGAACAAAGACCACTCAATTGAGATAATAGACTTCAAAGTCTATCCAAGGACATATTATTCACGTTGTTTGGTCGAGTATAGCTTCTATAATGAGAGGAGACAAACAGCACACCAATTTGTGCGAAAATAAGGATGGTGGCCCAAGCTTTGATTCCTATCAAGTCATGTGCAGCTCCCCTCCATTATGGCCGGCCAAGGTAGGTCTTCTAACCCATTTTTATTTGTTTTGCAGGTACTAATATCATGTGGAGTGGTTCCCAATTGATCCCATTAAATTTGGGGTCCAAAATATCTACCAATACTTCCAAAAATGGGAAGATGGGTCCTATTGTTTTATCTTTGTCAAAGATGTCTTTTTGTACTCATCCTAATTTATTTAGAACAAGTCAACTTCCTAAATCACATTATTGATCTCCAATATGTGTAGGCTCATCCCAATAATTTACTTGATGGATATTTTAGAAGGAAAATCCTACTCCCATTATTTAGCTCAATAATGCCAAAGATGGGGTTATAGACATTTGTATTCTCCTTTAATCATTCTTTCACTATTTAGGTAATGTTGGGCTTTTTTATTTATTAATAAGTCCCGAGTAAGTATTTGCGAAACCCGACACTAATGTACGAGTTTGAACAGTACGATATTCAACCATGCATTACGTAGAACATTGATCGTTTTACAAAATGTTTGGGAATCGGAAATCCAATACATAAGCTATGAATATTCAAATCAAATTTCCAAGGACATTCGGGTGCGGTGTCACAAACACACTGCGGTCAGAAATAATAGAAAAACATTGATACATCGGCCACACCATGTGACACTCCACATCGGCAAAAAATTAATTGAACCAGAATAGGAACACAAGAATATTCTACTCCCTTTAACTTCAACACATCTCAACTTAGAGAGTGGGGGACTCCTGATAGAGTATATGGACTCGGACCCTTTGCCCCACATACTCAGAAGACTAATATAAGACAGTTGGCACCTGACTGATCCCATCAGCCAGACAAAGCGGTCCACATAGATCAACCCAAGAGCCCAAGAATAGAAGATCGGCGCCTCCCGTGCTTGGGCACCCATCGACCAGACCCTCCATCGGTCAGGTCCTCCCTCGACCAGTGTTTCACTAATAACTTTCATTTTATACTTAGCTCTGGAAATCATGTAATCAGCCCATTAGAGGCCTTATATTGTACCAGGCCTCCCAAGCCCGAGACCTGGGAGCCTAACCCACATTTCCTCTATAATTACAAACACTTTCTCTCTCTAGCTTTCACTTCTCTCTAGATCTATACTCTTATCACATTAAATTTCTATCATTAATATAACTAATTAATATAATTAATTGTCTCCTATTTCCCTAGAATAATCAGAGGAGTACGTTGGTGGCGGTTATCTGACAGCGGCAGTTAGCATAAGATATGCCCAATATCACAACAGATACACGGGTCCAGAAGGTTGTGAAGGCCCCAGGCTCGAGCGGCACCACCCACACGGCGTATGATGCTCGGCACAGGATCCTTAAATGAATCGCCTGGATGAGCTTCTGGCCTGCTACTCTAAAGAAACCGGTGGTAAAGCATGGACTTGGCGGGAAGTGCATTTAATGCAATGATGTGGAAGATTTTACGCTTGGGGCTAGCCACCCAGGGCTCACCACGTCACCACCACCATCTACCACCTTGGCAGTTGATAGATAGCTAAGACGGGGATACCACTAGCAGTATTCAGAGAGAAAGCAGAGCTATTAAGTATGAGAGAGA